ACTTTAAGACTATTGGACTTCAACTCCCAGAATTCCTCAGCCAGCAACTTTAAGTCTCATGGACTTCAACTCCCAGAATTCTTCAGCTAGCTGCTTTAAGACTATTGGACTTCAACTCCCAGAATTCCTCAGCCAGCAACTTTAAGACTCGTGGCCTTTAATTCCCAGAATTGAGTCTAGCCCCAACATTTGTTTCGGTGAGTTTTGCTCGGTTTCTACGACCAAAATCGAGTCAGTTGCCAAGCATCTGAATTTTGATCCTGCGATCGAGGACACTACCACGGTCCCTAAGTGTGAAAAACGGGCCGTAAGTCCCTTTTAACAGTGCCATCGTAGCTTGGGACGGCCACAAAAGGAAAGGTTGTAAGTCAAGGATTATCTGTATTGCTTTATTCGCATAATTGACGGGGTTACACACTTAAAGCACTCAAATAGATTTAGGCCGATGTTTCTCAATCTGAGTGTTCTCCCTGGAAGGACAGATTGAGTTCCGCCCAGGCGGTGCTGGGTGTAACTGGGTGGGGCATCTTAAGTAAGGGAGACGGGCTCCTTCCCATTCAAAGGCCTCCAGGGGATGGAAAATCACTCCAGATGTGGGCTGCCAATCTCCCAGCCTCAGTTTCTCCTCGATAAATCACTAAATGGCGTCTCCTGCTGACTTCCCAGACATGTCAGTTCTCATTTTGGGGAGCAAATGAGTGGAGCTCCCCTGTTTTTGTTTTTGTTTTCCCCAATGCCTCAGTTTAGCTGGGGGGTTTCCTGGTGGTCTCCCATCCCTGCTTAGCTTTATTTGAAGATGCCCACCGAGGTGTTTGCTGTAATTGCACAAAAATGGGAGGAAGTCAGTTCTCTTTTGTGGGGCACATGACAGGGACTCCCTTTTGTTTTTTTTAATGCCTCAGTCTAGCCCTGGATTTTCCTGGTGGTCTCCCATCCCTGCTTAGCTTTTTTTTAAGATGGCCACTGTAACAACTGCACAAAAATGGGAGCAAATCCGTTCTCTTTTTGGGGGCCAAATGAATGGAACCCCCTTTTTTTCTCCCCACCCCCGTG